CCGGGGAGGGGGCCTGACGAAACCTGTCACCTACCGACTGTGTGACCTGAGCCATTTCCAGTTCCTGAGGGTCGATTTCCTTTGCGTGGAGGTGTGGACAGTAATATGCTCTTATGGTGTTCTTGTAGAAATTAGATGTGATCATGAAAGTGAGGATAATGTAGAAGCCAGAAAAAAGAACCTGGAGGTAATGCAGAGGGCAGAACAGCAAGGCTTTGGGGTACAGGGTTCTAGACTCTTGCAGGAAAAATCCCAGCCCCACCCCTACCTACCACGTGGCATCGCTCAAATAATTTAACTTCTCTGAGTATCAGCGTGCCTGTCTATAAATTGGGGGTAGTAACAGGACCCACCGAGGCGAAATGACAGGAGGCTGAAATGAGAGGTTACCTGTGGGGCACGGAGCACGGGGCCTGACCCACGCTCAGGTGCCCGCGGACGCCAGCTGGCGTCTTTTGTTGTTTTCATCATCCCTGTTAAGGCCATTCTGTCCACAGCGGAACAGAAGGCATTAGCAGCAGCGTGGACTCCAGGTTCAGTGGGCCTGTGACCCTGTGCTGTGTCTCAGGAAAATTACCCAACGCCCCAGCTCCTCAGTCTTTTCGCCTGCACAGTGGGATGACGGATCATCCCTTCCACTGCAAGATTTTTTTTTGTGAGGCTGGAATGAAACAGAGTTTTCGAAGACCCCCACGACGGGAGATGCTCAGATGGAAAGTCGGATCCACTACAGGGCTGGGAGAGCCGAGGGATGAAGCCCCACGTGCCTTCTGGAGCAGGGAAAGGATGCGGTCAGGTCCCTGCCGGAGCCTGGAGGCAGGCTGGCTGCTGGCGGTTCCACCCCACAGGGGTCAGGTAACCCACACTCAGAAGACCTCCAAGTGTAGGTGTTAAGGGTAAAGCCCCTTAGAGCCAGGCTGCCTGCCTTCCAATCCGGGCCCTGAAATACGCTAGCTGTGTGGCCTCAGTGCCCTTGTCTGCGAAGTGGGGATGATGTCAGGACCCATCCAAGGGCTGTCGTGTATGTGGCTTAAGATTGTCGGTTTCATGCCTCACATATAGGTGGCATTAGGAGATCTTTGAAATAAATTTAATTTATATAAAACTAATATATATATAAAAATATATAAAAAAGCCAAGCAGAAAAAAAATTTTAATTGGCACCTTTCACTCAATGAGCATCTGCTGCTGAGTACACATGAGATGGGTGGGGTCCCTGGAGGGGTCCCTCCCCTCCCCTGCTCAGCTCCCCAGGGCCTCATGCTTGGCATCTCCCCACGCCCAGCGTAACCCTGAATATTTAAAGTTATGTCTCCCCCCAAACAATATAGACCCTCGAGACAGTGTAACTATTTCATCTGATCCTCACCAACAAGAAACCAATCTGTTCCACCCCGGCCTGGCTGAGTTGGAGACTACGGGTCAATTTGCATCCCCGCCCAAGATGCAAACCCACGGAACTACATTCTACGCTCCCTCGGCCCTTAATCTCTCTTCCCCCGGCAGGTGACAACTCCTGCAGGGGACCAAGGATGCCGCACCACTTCCATGGACACCCAGGCCCTCCTCTCCAATTCCAGAGAGCATGCTGAGATGCAAGAGAGTGAGGTGGCTCAGAATTCAAAGAACAGCCTCAAATCTACTCCACTCTGCCATGTTTAAAATGGTAAATTGCCAATGAAGATATTGTACTTGCATGAATATCAGCCACAATTGACCAGTTTCCCTCCGTCTCAACACATCCAACTGAAATTGAAAACTGCTGTTCCAAGTTAGCCCAGTCTCTTCCTTGAGAACATGCTCTCCTTCTCAGTCTACTCACCATGGAGACTGTCCTTCATCTGATAATTGATGTCCGTGAGTCAATTTGGGAACCACCAATGGAGAAAAGGGCAGATGTGAGAATGAGAGCGTCCAGAGGCCTGAAAGTCTAGTCTAATCCTGTCTCTGTCACTACTGGCTTCATGTTTAGGCCTGATCTCCCCAAGGGAAAGCTAGAGATTGTGCTAGTAAGATATACCCCTTTCCTGATCTTTGCTGAGCCCCGTGTCATGTGAATTATTGCTCACTTAGTATTTTTCTTTACATTGATTCTATTCTTTAACTCAAAAATTTTATTTAAAAGCAAACTTTAGTCACCTTTGGAGCATCATAATGAATCAATTCATGGAAACTGTTAAATGACTGAAAAGAATCAAGCATCTATCCTGCTTTCTTAAATAAATTGTACAACCAGGGGACCAGGCAATAGATGAAGGAAGCCTCTCTTTGTAACAGCATCCCAAGCAATGAATGAAAAGAAATGACCGAATTAGGGTATCACCATCTCACAATCCTGAATAAATTCATGGACCTAGGCCCGGAGCATCACTGGTTGCCAACATTACAAAAAGAGACAATCGGACAATACGCGCCTTTGGATGAAAAAACACACAGCCACCCATGGTCCTGCTAAAGGGCTCAAACCTGAGTCTGACCAAGCCTCTAGATCTAGCTACCTGATTTGCAGAAAACACAGAAGACAGAGGAAATGCTGGAGGGGCTCCCAAACCGTGCAATCAGCAAAATCCAGACTGTGAAAACGTTGTTGTGCCTAACTGTCCAGAATCTTTAGCAGATTAAAAAAAAAAAGAGGCTGGAAGGAATGGAGAGGGAAATTAAAAGACACATCAAATTTCTAAAACCGGGAAGCAGTAAACTATCTTATCAAGAGATGATAAACCTTAAGTGATAAAGCTATAGAGACACGCAAGGAAGTCAAGCTACCATTTGGGGGGAGATTGAGATTAGGACATAGAGAAGCTTATAGAGCGGCTGCCAAAATTCTTTCTTGACCTGGGAGATGTTATAAGGAACTTATCTTGTAATAACTCATAATTAAAACACCTATTATGTATGGTTTTCTGCATTTGTTATATAATATTTCAAAATTAAAAAATAAAACCTATATAGTGCTGTCACAAAGGGAAGAAACCTGTAAAAAAAATTACTATAATAAAAGCAAAACAATGACCTAGAAACTGCTGCTTGCCAAAGCTCATAACCTGAAGCTTAATCATCCCTCTTCCTTAAAAAAGACAAGTGTTAGAAAGATGCCAAGGGGCACAGTAGCGCCAAATGAAAACAGTCTCCTGGAGGTACTCAAAAGAACGTAAAGTGAACTGAAAAGAATGTCATGTAAAATCCACGCAGCACCCAAAATCATCCTTCAAACTACTTGGGACCATCCTGCACGGTGGTGCAGGCTGTAGACGCTGGCAAATATGATTCCAGCTCTTACTCTGCCTGCAGTGGAACTCATGGTCCCTTGTCACCACCAGATCCCAACAAAAGACTGGTGGGCCAAGGCCCCTGCAGGGAATGCTGTACCCATTTGCCTAGAATGTTCCCTGCCTCTGTGGTAGGGAGACGGTCAGGGGTTTGGGGAACTAGCCTCAGCAAAAAATCACCCTTCCACCAAAAACACGATGTCCTGATGGCAATCAGGCGACAATCTGCAGACCTGCTCACCTCTGTCGGCTCTGTAATCATAGCTTCTACTGCATTGTTTTGTAATTATCCCCGTTTCTGTTTCCTTTGCTCTAAGACCATAACCTTCTCAGAAATAGGACTTAGCGCACTCCGCTCTATTCCTCAGCACTTGGTCAAGGCCAAGGCCGATGCCGAACGTTTGTGAAGTGGATGACCAACATCGATGAACGTTTTCAGGTACCAAGCGCTATGTTAAGTGCTTCTCATGTGTTATCTCATTTCCTCCTCTCGGCAACCCTGGATGTCGCTACTATTATCACATTCATTTTACAAATGAGGAGACTGAGGCCCAGAGAGGTGTTCCCAAGGCCACTCAGCCAGAAAATGACAAAGCCAGGGTCTGAACCCAGGTCTCTCTGACCCCAATGTGCATCAGGAGACTACTTAGAACAGGGAAGGAGCCGGGTTCCAGCTCTGCACCCTTCACAACAGGCAGTTCTATGCCTGGTGTGTGGTCTGCACTGAGAAAACCCACCCCCAACCCAGTTCTTGGTCTTTCAAGGCTGGGGGGTACTCAGCCTAACTTAGCAGAGCACAAGATGTGATGTCCAGGAAGAGAGGAAGTCTGAAGCTTTAAAGCACATGCAACGTGCAATAGCGTCCCATTTCACGTAGGGGAGTTGGGCTGTAAAATCAAGATGTAAGGTGAGAACTGGAAAGAGTCAAAAAAAAATCTCAAAGCTCCCTTAAAGCATCTTCAAGACACTAAGCCTTTGGCCCTTGGAAGCTCCCAAAGCAAGAATTAACTTTGTATCTCTTTGCATTTGGAATCTGCCCTGCCACCCTTCACGCCTTAGGTACAGAGACCAAGGTCTAGTCTGAACAGGGAAAAGGCTACTTGAAGGGACATCTCTTACTCTCACAGATAAGAGTTAGAATCACAGTCAATAGCAGATGGTACACAAATGCCCTCCTCTCTTCTTCGGAGCCTGGCTCTGAGCTCACTAGCCCCTGCCCGGGCTGTGCCCCCTGCCCCGGGGGTACTCTGAGGGCTGTGTTCCCAGGCAGCCCCTCCTCCAAGGAGGTCCGTGTAACCTGCAGCATGAACTCATGCATTTATCCAAAGGGTCTGGAGGGCCGACCGCAACCCTCTTGGGGGCCCCATGAAGACCTTTGTACTCATTCCCAGCTGTAAGTCCTGCTGGTCCATCTCATACTGTGAGACTGAAAGTCCTGAGCTCCTGTCCCCAAGTCACCTCTTGCTGCCAGAGGGAGGCCCCGCTCTGTTGGTTATAAAACCAATTGCCTGAGTTCCTTTATCTTTGTTGAAACAGCATCTGCCTCCGGGGAGCGCGCTTCTCAGCGTCAACCTCGGAAATTCTCCGCGGCGGTCCCCGGGCCCAGCAGCTTCCTGGCTCTAGGATGGCAAGGGCCCAGGGGTCTCTTTGGGGTGGCCACTGCTGGGACAGCTGTGGCCAAAGCCTGGCGAGCCCCGGAGGTGGAGTGGCCCGGGCCCCTGGACAGGTTACCATGGTCTGGAAGCAGGAGTGGAGCTGCGTCAGGAACGGCGGCTTCCCGGCCAGGGCCAGCACCCGCTTCTCCACCATCGTGCACTCCACGTCGTCGTCCTGGATGACCACGTCCTTCTTCAGGATCTTCACAGCGTACAGCTCATCAGTGCCCTTCCGCTCTGAGAGCATGACCTGGGGAAAGAAAAGGCAGGTCAGCGCCGTCGAAGGGGCCAAGGGAAGGCAGCTGATGTGCATTCAAATCTGCCCCAGGCTGTGTCCACACGCCCTGTGTGGATGCCGATCCGATACATGACATTTCCCACAGACTTCACACCCAATCAAGAGAGGATGGCTCCCAAACAGAAACAGACACACAGACACAGAAAACAAACTTATGGTTCCCTGGGGTGGTAAAGGGGGTGGGAAGGGATAAATTAGGAGTTTGGGATTAGCAGATACACACTGCTATATGGAAAATAGATACATAGCAAGGACCTGCTGTAGAGCATAGGGAACTACCTTCAGTATCCTGTAATAACCTATAGTGGAAAAGAATCTGAAAAGAATCTTGTAATAACCAGTAACGGGAAAGAACCAATCAAATCACTTAGCTGTACACCTGAAACTAACACAGCATCATAAATCAACTACACTTTGAATTTAAAAAATATCGCTAAAAAAACTCAAATCAAATAAAAATTCATCAGACGATGGTTCCCAGAGCCACGAGCAGGTACTGGGGTACCTCTTCGGGATATGCATCAATGCCCAACCAAACGTGACTAGAATATAAACCCCACGAGGATCTTGGCCTGTTTTGCTCACTGGTGTAGCCCAAGAGCCTGGAATAGGGCCTGGCACACAGGAGATGTTCAGTTAAGTATTTGGGGACGGAAAGCACGAGTGAATTCCTGATACGACTGCATTTGGTGCAATTGTTCCTTTATTTTTCAGTTATTTAATCTTCATGAAGAGCCTGCTAAGCCCTGGGGAAACGGCAAGAGATGAGCAGGCACGTTCTCTGACCCTGCCTTCCAGGGAGGAAGGAAGATTTTGGACATTAATTACCGGGATGATTAATGTAATATTTTAACATCCTCTCCTGTTGTGCTGGGGCTCCCTTCCATGCAGCTGTGGTTGCAATCAGAGTATGTTAATCAGTGTGGCTCGTGACACATCATTATTTTTACTGGCTGTCACTATGCCAGAGGGAACAGTGACCAGCAGGTACTGTTCTCCAGAAGCCTCTTAGGGAGCACGGGGCAGGACCACATGGTACGAGACCTAACCTGGTCTGGGGGCTTCCTGGAAGGCTTCCTGGAGGAAGAAGCAATCAGACCGAAGTAAGTATTGACTGTATGCACTGTGTCAGCTATTTTGCAGGCAATAATATCAATCACCACGACAATTTGAGCACTTATCCATGCACCAGACAATGAGTGGTTTTCACTTATTATTTCTCATTTACTTAGGGAGTAGGTACCATTGAGAACCCTATTTCAAGCGGGAAGGGGCAATATAGAGGTCGGAGATTAAGAAGTACAAACTATTATGTATACAATGAGCTACACAGATATATTGTACAACACGAGGATTAGAGCCAATATTTTATAACTCTAAATGGAGGATAACCTTTAAAAACTGTGAATTACTGTATTGTACCCTTATAATTTATAGAATATTGTGTATCAATTTCAAATAAATAAATGAATAAATTAATTAATTAAAGTTTTTAAATAAATTAATTAGTTTTTTTTTTAAGCCCAATTCCATAGGAGACTAGGGCTCAGGGAAGGTAAGCTGCCTGTCACACCACAAATTCAGTTAGGAACAGAGCCAGGATTTGAACTCAGGTTTACCTGACTTCAAGGTCTCTCTGCCTTTAAACACTCCACTTGCCGAGAGCTCCAGAAGAATCCTCAAGGAGTTGAGGTGGCTGGGGAAGTGAACTGCTCACACCTGACTCAGCTAGAGGACCAAGGAAGGTGACAGAAGCCTGGGGCCAGAGGGAGCAACGCATAGAGGAAGCCTTGGGCGGGCGGGCAGCTGGACACATCCGCACAGCTCCTACCCTGACGGAACAGCCCTGACTGCACACCTGCTCAGACGCTCCGGCTGAGCTCGCCGGCCCACACAGAGGCATGTCTCCTCCCTCCCCATCTTTCCTCTCATCAGGGGTGGCCATGGGCAATGCAGATCCATGAATTTGTAGCCCTTAGGAAGAAAGCTCCTGACGCACAGCAAGAGGACCTTCCCAACCTCTTCCTCCCGAAGCCTCACCACAGAAATAAGAGCTGCCAAACTGAGCAGGTCCTGCCGGCCGGGCATTTACTTGATCCTCACGGCAGAGCCCACGTTCGCATGGCAGGGTGATGTGCATCTTGGGTTTATTTCCCATCTCCCTCTGCTCTCTCACTGGTACCCAGAGCTGTTTCTCCTTCCTTAGCCTTCCCCAAGGCAGAAGCAATGACTCCACTAAGACAGAGTAGAATGGAGATAGGGATTTTCTGCTCTCAGATTCCCAAGAAGGCCGCGGCTGGGGCAAGTGCAGGGAGAAGGCAGGGAGGGGACTTGGCCAGAGGTGAAAGGGTGGCAGGACTGGAGGTGGGTGAAAGCAGAGCCTTCAACTGAGAGGACCCCAGGGGACACAGGAGGGGCTCAGTGCTGAGCTGGCTTCCAGTATGGACAGCCCCACTGCCCCATCAGCACTGGTCAAGGTACAAACTAACAATCCTGGATACTTGTAAACACCCCACCCCACCACCACCCGAGAATCCAGAGGAGGGGCCCTGCATACCCTGAATGTCAATGCATCGTGATAAGACATCTCAGTCCCTGTCCTGAAGGAGAAACAGGACAGATGGCTGGGAATTTCCCCATGCACCAGAGGCAGGACTGGACATTCCACATCTGTTCCAGTTACCCCCATTCTACAGATAAACAAACTGAGGCTGAGAGATTCACCTGCTCGAGCTAATGATTGTTCTGAAAATGCAGATCTGCCCATGCTACTCAAATACTTCAGGTCCCCCAGTGGCTCTGGGAACCAAACAATTCCATGACCACATCCTGTTCTTTCTTTTCCTTTCGCTGTTCTATTCCTACTGCCTGCAGTGTCCTTCCACATTCTCTCACCGATCAGAGAATCAGAGATTCAGCTCAGAAGTTACCTTCTTCTATATCTCTCAATGATCCACTTAAACCAAACGGGTCACTCCTCCTTCTGGCCCCTGGGACTGCTTTGTATCTATGTCAGATACTCTAGGGCAGACATTCCCAAACTTCGATCAATCACACACAGGGCTTTTTCACATTTTTTTCCTACCCCCTAAACTGGTATTTACTTCATATTTTTGAAGTCTAGTCACATCTTTACTTAACTAAATTTATCTGAAAAGGAAACTATATCACCACCATTACTGGCAAGCCAGTATCACGAGCCATAAATGGGAGATGAGCATAAAAATAAATAAAAGCAATGCAGTGAGAGGAAATCCTAGCCAGAGACTGCTGACTGCTGAAGGTTCCAAGCCAGACCCTGTGTTTTTTCCTTGTTTAAGGAAAAAAGTGATATTTGCAAATGTTAGCTATTAATGGCATACTGTCATCAAATGAGACTTTCTGGTTCAAGTAATTAGAAAGACTAAGAGGAAACAGAGAATAACCCTATCATGCTGTGATTTAATTTTATTTCATATTGCATCTTTGTGCCCCCTAAAAAAACCTCAGCTACTAAATTAAAATCATCTTGTAAATCATCAATACTACACACTTCACACATTATAGAAAACACTGTTGCATTTGTAGAGATAATTGTTTTTCAGTCAATCAACAGGGATATGTGAAGATTCTGTGTCTAGCGCTAACCTAAGCCCCAGGGGGAGAGGGGCAATAAGCCAGCACCAGAGAGCACCCCTCATATTCTGTGAGTGGTATACAAAGGAGCAAACTTTGGAAAATTCCCCTGTATTGGCTGGAGGAAAACAGAACTGACACACACGAAGAGTTGATAACAATTTAGAGATAGAAGTGAATCAAGCTCCAGAGCAGGGACCAGCAAACTTTTTCTGTAAAGGGCCAAATGGTAAATATCATAGACTTTGTGGGACAGTTTCTGTATCCACTACTCAACCCCACCACTGTAGCGGGAAAGCAGCCCACACGCAAGTGTTCCAATAAATCTTTATTTATAAAAATAGGAGGTGGGCCCAGTACCAGTAGTTTGCTGACCCCTGTTCTAGAACACGGTCAGGGAAAAAAATGACAGTGACTACATTATCAAAAGTGGCCGCAGTTTAACCTGGAAACAGACCCTGGCATACTTTTCATTTCTTCCAGCTCCATTATTACAAAGAACCTTCTGATTGGGCAGGGGTTGCACCTGGCCACAGCTGATTGGACCAGAGGTACATAACTGACCTAGGTTGAGCCAATCAGATTCTCTTGTTTAAGAATGTGTGATTAGTATACTCCAAGTAGGCAGTCTAGGGCCTAAGTAGAGAAACACACAGACCTGCCTAGGGTGGTCCTTTCACATGCAGGCAAAAAAAATGAACCAGATGTGTGGGAAAAGCAAGATCAGGGAATGAGCAAAGGCCTTGCTTTCCAGTTCCTGGTTCCAATCCTTCACGGGGCTTGGCTGTTTCCATAGAAACCTCCACATGCCCCCAATAAAGTTATTATTTTTATTTATATTAGCTTGAATGGATTTCTGTTTCTTAAAGATCCTGTAAGGCCAAATTATTGCTTGAGGAACTCAAATTCTTAATAAAAACAAGAATTTCAGGAAGCCAAGTAGCATCAGGTCAGTACATGACTTAAAACAAGGCAAATTCCATTCTTTATAAAGGACAGTGCTTCTGGTCCATATCAGAATTACATCAAGGTATGTGTTTAGAAGACAGATTCCAAGTGCTGCCTCTCATTCAGAAGCTCTGACTGTGGCCTGGGAATATGTATTTTAACAAACGCCTCCCCTCCCCTCAAGTCTCATCACTAAATTTGTTGTTCTGAGGGACTCTGAGGAACTATCAAAACTGATTCATTTAATACGGGAGTTAGGAGGTGTCCACAAGTAAAACAGAGAGAATCCTTTTATTCTGAGATTCCCAACGCTTTCTCAGCACTCACTACCAAGGGGTGAAAAGGGAGCTTTGTTCCTTTATATTCTAATCAAGCTTTCCTTTTCAGCG